CAAAAAATGGCGAACTGAAGATCGATTTGGATTTCACGTAATTTGTTTTTTTTTCCTTTGCAAGGTATATTATTTATTATTATATTAGAAATTATTTATATTAGAAATTATTTATATTAGAAATGAAATGTTTCCCAAAAATAATATAGATTAGAAATACTTGTATCCATTTTAAGTAATTTCATTCATTTTGAAATAAAAACTAAAAAATAAAAACGATGCCATCAAATTTGGTATTCTATATGACTTCATGATATCAGACAAAATTTAAATTTAAAATGAAAATATTTCGATGGCCATTCCAACCAAAACATTTTAAACCATCTAAGCCGTCGAATATCGAATACACGAGACTCTCGCTTAACTGAAACAGAAAATAATAATGAACAATAAATCTGGTACATTGCAAACGGCTCAACCTAAGTTACTCCACAATATGACAAGATAATAATCACAAAATTGTTTACATAAAACAGGTATTATTATTTAATTTGATTATCCAAACTACCTACTCGAGCTAGGAGCGTAAAGGAGCGTTTCTATAAAAATCCGCTAATGTAAAATAAATAGCTTTCTCGTTGAGATCGGGCGTGCAGGTTGCCCCTCGACCCGTCCCTGTGCCCCTACCGGCTCTTCCACCGTTCCTACTATCGAAAACATCTAAATGAGATGCAATTAACATTTTCCTGGCAAAGATTTTTCGTCATGACCGCAACTAGCCACCGCATCATTCATTATCGATGTGCCGAACAGCGTTGCCAACAGAACAATAATTATTAGTAGGCTATATAAAAAAGTCCTTCCTTGTGAAACTTCGGCAGCATATTCTGCAGATAAAAATAAGTAATAAGGTTCATATAAATGTATGTCCTAAAATGCTTAGTTTCGGAGATACAGGGTGTAGAAGTTTTATTTTTATCTAGATTTTTTCCAAATAATTTATGAAGTAACGTAAATATTTGGATGAAAATTGGTGTCTGGGAGTTTTTTGACATGACAAATTTGATTTTGATGTCAATATGACTCCTAGTTGTAGAGGGCGCTACCTACATAATTTTAACTGGTTAGAAGAGTAATAACTTTTCGTCCGTAACTGTATAAAACTACTGACTAAATATACATTGACGACGTTTTTTACGTAAATAAGGTCTCTTAGTAAAAATCGCTACGAGTAATAGTTCTCGAGATATTTGGAACCGAAATTATGAATACTTCCCAGATAGCACATTTACGTTCTTTTCATATGCAAAGCAAGTGACTTTGGAGAACAACAATGTTCTATTCACATTCCTTTTTTTCATTGGGAACATATATGGCACATGAATAGCAGAGATTACGTTCCACCCTATTCAAGTGATATAGAAGTGCGTTTCACATTCCAAGATATATTCTATGAACGTGAATTATATGTTCGTAAAAGAATGTATTTAAAAATAATATTCCAATTATATGATATTCATGTTTTTAATATTCTATATTTATGCTTTTCATATGTTTTTCATATTTTTTTATTATCTACAGAGGCAAAATAAAACACTAATTTACCACAATACACCAAAACACTTTACTTTTGCACAGGACGCGCGTTTCGCTAACCATGTTAGCATCATCAGCAGATGGTCAAAATTTAAGTTTTAATCATCTGCTGATGACGCTAAGATGATTAACCAAACAAGCGTCCAGTTCAAAAGTAAAGTGTTTTGGTATATTGTGGTGAATTAGTGTTTTAATTTGCTGTTGTAACACCAAAGATTCCAACCCTCAACTCTGTATCTACTGGGTGTCCTGTATAAGGATGCCCTGTATCAATATCCTATAAACTATAGATATAGATACAATTTTTTTCATATTTAGCAATTTTTTTATCTCTTAAAATCTATAGGATACCTATACAGTACATTCATATCTGGAACACACTACAAACAATTTGCTGAAATTAAATAATTTGGTGTGTAATAATCAAAAATTAACTAATAAATAGAACGGTTAAAAATAATAGGTAAGGATAAAGACGAACTTGAGTAATATATGTTTATTAATTAAAAATATTTGAATATAACAATATACATTGATATTATCTTCTATGTCTATGTTTCTATATTCTCTTGTCTACCCTTCTGAAATAATATCAGCAAAATTATACTGTTCAAATAAATTCGCACAACTTACCTTTGTCTTTTGTTTTTACAAGCCATATTTTAATTATATTGATAATTTTCGTTTCTTTTGACTCTTGAAATTGACCTTTCATGGAGTCTAAAATATATGTTATTACAGTCTTTGCAACACCAAATATCTTTAAGTTCAGATACCTAAAATTGCTTTTGGCCACTAACAATGATTTCAAACTTCTCTTCTGTTTGGCCCCATCCGAAGAATATTTTTGTGCAATTTCATTGCCCAGAACCTTATAAAGCACTTTCCTTATACTTTGTGCTACTCCTGAACCACCAAGTCTAGATAATTCTCGAACCTAATAATTCTTGAAAATACCTTTCTCTTAAAAAATACACAATAAATGATTATAGAAGAGCCTACATAAATACCTATATAAATACTATATTATAGGAAAGTTCAGCACTGGAACTACACTTATTAGAACAGAAATCTTCAATGATACTACCAGAGATACTACTACATTGATGATGTACAGAGGATATTAAAGAATCACTTTGGTCTGAATCCAGTTTAATGTACAATATTGAAGTCATATTTGCGTAACATTGACTTAATAAGATTTTGACTCCTTTTTTTTGGTTGAATTTTAAAATATTTTTTAGTATAACCTATTTTTTTTCGAGGTCTCATGGTTTTAGAACATTAAATTCACTCCCCTTAAAATAGATACTGAAAACACAAACATAACAAGAAGTACTTTACCGATTCTATCCTTAAAATAATTATTTGCATCACTTACCTTTACGTTATCTCAGTGCTTTAATTATTAAAATAGTTTGGATGAAGTACGTTTACGTTTATGGTTCACTTGTTGTTTTTTTGTTAGGTTATGTTATGGATGTACGATTCGAATAGATTTGAATCGAAGGTCGATCTTTTTACCCAAAAAATCGATTAAAATCATCTATCAAACTATCTTTTGGTATAATCGATCTTTTTATTTCATAATGGAAGATCGTTTTTATTTATACAGTTTTACAGGTTTATTTATTTGTTAGAATAAGGAACACTGTATTTTTGCTTGAATATTTGTTTACAGTGCATCTATATACACTAATATATAAAATCCCTAATAATTATTTAATACACAAAAATTTAATAGTAAGAAAATATACAAATATAATGTATTGTATTTATACATTTTTTCATTTCGAAATCATTTTTATTCTCCTTTATTTTTATTCAGATATTGATATGTTTAGAACGTGAATATCAGATACTTATAATTTATTGTAAACCATAATTTCAGAAGATATTCTAAGGTCATGCTGATAATATACCTTTAAATCACATTCATAGTAGAATGTACTATTCATATGCCATACTTATTAAAAAAAAGAATATACTTATAAGAACTTAGGAGGAATATTCTTAGAATGTAAATGTTTCTTTTGTGCTATCTGGGCTTATCTTCATTGACATAAATTTAACAAAAGTTCAACAGAAAAACTGTTCTATCATCATTTTTTTTTCGCAGAAAAATTTATGATTGATTTGAAAATATAAAAATTTCCCAAATTTATTATTTCAGTTAAATAACTATCTACTCAAGGTGTTTATTTTTCGTCAATAATGGCATGTATCGACTATTTCCATTCCAAATATCTTAACGTGTTTATTTCTTGTCAATATTAACATGTATTAAATATTTCCATTCTAAATATCTTGAGAACGGTTGTTCATATCGATTTTTACCAAGAGACATTTTTTAAGTAAAAAACGTCGTAAATGTATATTTTTTTACCCAGTAGTTTTATACAGGTACAGACGAAAAGTTATTACTCTTCAAAACAGTTAAAAAACATGTATGCCCACTTTTATATATTTTCTTTTAATCAAAATATTTTTTAGGAAACAAAAATAAATTAATTATAAATATATAAACATTTATTATTTACATCAACAAAACTCACCTTCTTAAGGGATCACTTAAGGGATATAAAGGGTCATTACTAATTACTACCCCTGCGTTACTCGCACGGTGAGCACAGCGCTCACTCTTTAACTATTTTCTTAATTTTTTTCACAATTTTGCACAAACTGACAAGTGCGCTCATATAATCCTCCACACAACTATTGTGTTCAAGGTCACTTACGCAGAAATGCGATTGGAAAAGCCTCAGTCTACTTTTAGCCGTCTTTGAGCGTGTATGTCGAAAAAAGAGCGATTAGCTCACCCGCGAGTAACGACGTGATTCTAATTTTTGTGATTTTTAAAACCAATTTTTTTTCTCGTCAACTTTGTTTTTTATGTCATCTGGCTCTATAATATTAATATGTTATGGATCCGAAAGAAGAGGCGAGACTTCTGAAAATATACGAAGAATTGTTGCAAGAGGATTTGCTACTTGAACAGGCGCAAGAGCAAAATTTGAATGATGAAGAAAGCGACATAGATTCTGTTGAAGTGAATTCTAATCATAAGACTGACTCAAGAGTTATCTGCGGATGATACGGATAATACTTTTTCAACGTTTCGGTCTGAAGATGGTCCGAATTATATCGGCAAAGACAAAAAAACTATTTGGAAAGTTCATCGAGAGCGGAAAACTAGCCGGACTCGACAGCACAATATTATAACCAAATTACCGGGTGTGAAGTCTGCTGCAAGGAACGCTAAGACTCCATATGAAACCTGGAACTTGCTCATAACAGACGAAACCATCGAAGAAATAGTGTCCTGCACAAATGTACACCTACAACAAATTTGCAACAATTATTCCCGCGAACGGGATGTTTAGACACTGATAGTGACGAAATAAAAGCACTTTTTGGATTATTGTACATGGCCGGAGTTTTGAAATCCCGGCATACCAACTTGAATGATCTATGGAGCACCGATTCTACAGCACCAGAGTTATTCAAAATGGTTATGTCTGTCTATGAAAAGATTCTACTTGTTGCTTCAAGCTCTTCGCTTCGATAATATTAGCACAAGAGCTGAGCGCAAAAAAATTGATAAGCTAGCACCAATTAGAGATATTTTCGAGAAATTTCAAGAAAGATGCCAAGCCTGCTATACACCTAGTGAAAATTGTACAATTGACGAGATGCTAGAGGGTGTCCGGGGAAGGTGCAGCTTTAGGCAATACATCTCCAGTAAGCCAAACAAATACGGCATAAAAATATTTGCCTTGGCTGATAGTCGTGCATTCTACACTCTCAAAATGGAGATTTATGCAGGAAAACAGCCTGAGGGTCCATTTTGTATTGATAACAGCCCAGCTTGTGTGGTAAAACGAATGTGTGAACCCATTTGGAATTCTGGACGAAATTTGACCTGCGATAACTGGTTCACATCAGTTCCTTTAGCAGAAGATCTCAAGAAGAATGAAATAACTTTAGTTGGGACAATTAGAAAAAACAAACGTGAAATTCCCGAAATATTTGTTGCAACTAAACAAAGGCCCGTTTGCAGCAGTATGTTTGCTTTTGGCCGAGAATCTCTATTAGTTTCGTACGTCCCAAAGAAAAACAAGAATGTCCTGCTATTGTCAACACTTCATGAATATGATGAAATTGATGCAGAAAGTGGCGAAGCCTGCAAGCCAGCAGTGGTTACTTTTTACAATCAAACTAAATCGGGAGTAGATTCTGTGGACCAGCTCAAAAGTCTTTATTCAGTGGCAAGAAATACATGTAGGTGGTTGACTGTGTTTTTTAGTATCATGAACATCGCTGGAATAAATGGGAACATTATATTTAGAACCAATGTATTAGATTCTAATCAACCAAGGCGAGAATATTTGAAAAATTTAGCTAGACAACTCGTTACTCCACACATGCAAGGAAGAGCGTCACAAAATCTACCATTTCTACTACGTTTGCAAATAAAAAATAGCTGAATATTCCGTTAACACAGGAGAAAGAAGTTCCACAAGAAAACGAAACTGGTGCAAGGCCAAAATGCTATAACTGTCCCAAGAAAAAGAACCGCAAAACAACCACAAAGTGCTCAAAGTGCCTTAGAGCAATTTGTAAAGAACATACTATTGCCATTTGTACTGAATGTGGACGCGATGAAAATCTTGAATCGGAGTGATTTTTTTCTAAAAAAACATTATCCTAGTTGCTTTTAGCATATTACTACCTGTTTCGTAGTTCAACTTGTTTATGTATATGTTTACTTGTTCATGTTTATGAAAATATCTTTTATTTGGTTAAAAAATATTACTTTGCTGGCAATAATGCAAGATATATGTTTAGTTTTGATTTAATAAAACCATTTTTATAATTTTTGCTTTTTTTGTGCCTAATAAAAATCAATATGATGCACATAATTGCCAAGTGAGCTAGACGCTTCATTTTACCACGCGAGTAACGCAGGGCTACCGTTTTTCCGTTCAAAAAATTCTAATAAAGTTGCGATGAGTTTTTTTATGGCTATTACGCTATCTTGTACAGTTTGCACTAAAAAGGTTCTAAAAAGAACAATGTTCGAGTGCAAGGTCTGCTAGTAAATATTTTTGAGCTAAAGTATCACGACACTATTTATTTAAACCAAAAACTCGTAATACAAAACCTCATACAAAACTAAAGTGTCAAAAAGAATGACATTGTCAGGAAATAAATAAATAAATGCGGCAACTTGACATTTTTTACAGCAGAGTTACCACTTGAATCCTTAGAGCGAAATTTAAATTTCAGTTAGTCCAGTTAGGTGCCGAATATGTCCATGGTTGGAAACGCATTAATGAATTTAAAAATCGCGCGTTCAGTTACGTAACTATAAGTTTAATTGATATCAAATACCGTATGATCGAAAAAAACCCGGGTCCAGTTGGCTTGGAAATGAACATCGATGACATTCCCCATATAAAATGACAGCGATCTTTATTTCATAGCCATCGCTGACGCCGTTTTTTTCGATGATACCGGTATATTTATACATCGCAAGTGGTATCAGTTAGTAGTTCGTTCAAATGGATGAATCGTAGGAGTCGATTTAATATGAGAAATTGAATCGCGTGATTGGATTCAATAAAAAGAATCGTAAAGCCCATCATTAAACTGTTTAAATCTTTAAGTCACTTACTCACTTAAACTACTAAATCTCTAAGTCAAGACTAAATATCTAATTAGTCAGTATACAACACATTTCAAAATACGCATATTTAAGAAATTGCTAATTTAAGGAATGCATGTATGTACTCACTTATTTGATCTCCCCGAAAGAGGATATAATTAAAATTTATACCTAATAATTTTCATTATGAAATATAGTGCAAACTTGAACAAGCATTTTTCCTACAAAAGAAAGGCATTATGATTAATTAATGCGATCAATTACAAGAAAAAGATAGACTTCGTCTAGAACAAAGTGGTTAAGTTGGCAACGCTGGCAATCAACAGCAAAACCGAAGGGTGTAGAGAGTGAGAGGCATGCAAGGAGAAAAACACGAAGGAAAGGGAAACGAAAAAAACGATAGTTTTTTTTGTCCTTTTATGGTAACCGAATGGCTAATTAATTCGCCCTTAGAACGCAAGCGCCACGATCGTTTTGTTATGCGCCTCCGGGACGACGGATTTCGGATTTTTGTCGTAGTACCCGTTTCAGTGGCGTACTATTTAACCCTTACGTTGCAATCAGCAATATAAGAGTTAATAGAGTCTCAATCAGAACGTCAATGGTTAAATGAGATTTGGTATGTTAGTATATGAAATAATTTAGGATTGATTGACGTATTCAATTATTGTTTTCGGTCACTTCCTGTTTCACTGAAAATGACTACTTTTGATTTTTAAATGGCACCCTCGATATTTTGTTACTTTATTCGATAGAAAATGACACTCTGAATAGATAGACATATCATATGTCAACTTTTGACGATTTTCGAATATGGTTGATTTGAAATTGTAGCATGCGATTCATAACGACAATTTGACTCGAAATACCAATTGTGTGGTACCAAAATTATTCGTAAAAAATGCTTCTTCAAAATATGCTAATGAGCCACCCTCGTTCCATTTGAAAAGTTGAGATATGATTAAAAATACGATTTGGGCAAAATACGATTTTACAAGGCTCCTTGATTAAAAATTATTATTTAACACATCTCTGGAAGATTGAATTTTAAAATACAATTTTGTTTTAAGCGAAAATGTCAAAAGTTGACATATCATATGTCATTATATTCAAAGTGTCATTTTCTATGGAATAAAGTAAAAAAATACCGAGGGTGCTATTTAAAAATCAAAAGTTGTAGTCATTTCCGGTGAAACAGGACTAGTTTAGGCCAATCATGTTAGAGGGGTCACTTGGAAAAAAGTGTTGGAAAGCTAAATATTGATTTGGTTGATTCATTTGACGTTAAAAAGGATGTTTCGAAGGTTTACACGGTTACTCGACCACCGCTCGACTCAGGAGACCCAAAAGATAGTAAAATTCTTGGACATTTTTCCGATTTTATATAGCCAATAGTTCGGAAACGTTGCGTTCTAACGGATATTTCAATAATAGGCTAAATAAAGAGAATTAGATTCTATGTCGAATGAGTATAATTCAGTCAATTCGGTTCAGTAGTATGGCTAAAATCGAAACTTGAAGATTGGTGATATTTTTAGCCACTTTGTTGAAATGATATGACCATTGACATTGAATTGTTACATGAAAAACATCATTCTAGTTAGAAAAAATGCAAGTAAAATTATAAAGCATCAAATTGTAGGTTCAATTAACTTTTAAATTTGATCAAGTGATTTCTCTGATTTTGGTCATCTCTCAATTCAGCTACAATTAAAAAATCCTTATAGACTAGTTTTTCAACAGAATGGAAACTATCTCGGAAATAAAGATAAATATTGTATTAGAAATAATTATAACTCTTGTTGCATTTTATGTTTTATTCTATCGTTAGCGTTTTAGTTCAGATTATTATTTTTTTATTATTGGTTTTTATTTGTATTTTAAAGTTTATTTATTTGGCGCCACAGATTAGGAGGAGAAGGAGGTCCACCTTCTCCCTCTACCTAAATGCAAAATGGTACCAAAATCTTGTACCCACTCGTATTTAAAACTACACGAACATACAGCACTATCGGACAAAAGCAAAGAAAACATTTTAAAATTGTCTTTTTTGTTAACGCAGGGACTGAGGCCATTTATGCATTGTTAAAATTAAAGATACTTAAATATAGTTCTTATTTAAATTAAATAATCACATGTCTCATCAAAACTTAAGATTTTATTCAGTTAAATAAAAAACTATATAGGGACAAAAATAGAGAACCTAAAAATTAATATAAAAATTACAAATACATGGTTGTTGCTAACCTAACAAATTAATAATGGTCAGAGTAACCGTGATTGGCTATAACTTCACGACATTGCTTTGGCATAGACCCCAATAGTTTTTTTTATGGTATCTGGTTCAATGGAAGTCCAGGCCTCTTTCAAAATTCTTATCAAACCTTTCTTATTGCTAATGTGACTTCGTCTTACCCAGCGATCTAGTTCCTCCCACATGTTTTCAATGGGGTTAAGGTCTGGACTTAGTTCATAACTCTAATTTGTTCAGACAAAAACCATTCTTGTAAGGCTTTCGATTTATGCTTTGGATCATTATCTTGCTAAAAATATCCAGGTTAAAGGCAAATTATCATCAGCAAACGGAATCATCACTTTCTTTAAGATGTCCAAATACATAAATCGATCCATTGTTCCTTCTATTACATGCAGTGGTCTCATGCCATACCCGAGAAGCATCCCCACACTATGCTTTACAGTGGCTTTATGGTATACTTTGGACCAAATCTTTTCCCTTCTGGGCGATGTATCCACGATATGCCATTGGATCTAAATATATTGAAATTGCTTTCATCTGAAACAGGACCTTTTTCCAGTCATTCGTCGACCAGTGCAAATATTTGTTTGCAAAGGTAAGCCGGGCCTTCTGGTTCTTCTTACTAATGAGTGTTTTTTTGAGTGTTTTTCTGCTAAATAATCCTACTTCCCTTAGCCTCGGATAGCTCTTCGGATGGTCTTAGAGCTTATATTGATACTAGGTTGAAATTGGAAATCGTTTTGCTAATGACAGGCTTATGCAAATTAAACATTGTGCTTATGTCCATTTGCCGTAGGTACACCATTCCGATGTCGTTCATTATTTTTTCGCGAAGATCCTCACACAAATATTTTCCGCGTGGCATATTTAGTGAAAATGTAAATCAGAATATCAACAGTTTTCACCTTAAGCAAAGGTTTCTTTATTTATGTCCCTTCAAAAATATTCGTGCCCATATGATAAATAAACACCTGATAAGATAAATTTGGAATGTGGCGAAAAATAATGGTATTATACAGGGTGTTTCAAAACAAATGCGAAAAACTTTAGGAGGTGATTCCTTGTTCAAAATAAAGGGTAGTTTGCTTTATAAACGTTGGGTCAAAAGTCAACCATTAGGGAGATATCGCGTTACAAAGATGGCGGAAAAATAACAGTAATGCTTCCATAAAATTTTATTAGTCTATCTCTTTTCGTTTTCAAGATAAAAAATAAAAACATTATTTTTCCGCCATCTTTGTACCGCAATATCTCCCTAATGGTTGACTTTTGATCCAACGTTTATGAAGCAAACTACCCTTTATTTTGAACAAGGAATCACCCCCTGAAGTTTTTCGCATTTGTTTTGAAACACCCTGTATATGTAAAATATGTGTAAAACAAACATTATTTTAAATATTGGAGGATTTTGAAGTCCGACGAGTTTTAAAAAGTTTCTCTACTTTTGTCTGATACAGTACCTAGTTAACCTTATACCTTAACATTAAAAAAGTATGTTTAGCCTTTCGGTTTTCCATTATAAACTGGCACTGTATTGAATTAAAAATCAGTAATAAGACCAA